GTAAAACATGGGTGATACAAACTTTTTAGTAGATAATTCTACTTCAGCTTTTATGTAGAAAAATAAAACCTTGAATTCTCAATTTTCTAGTGAGCAATCAAGTGACAAGAAACACATACATATACACTAGGATATGATGCAAAAGAAAGGCATATATATACAGCATTTCCAACAGAAGAAAAATCAAAGATCATGTATCAAAACAAAGTTCATTAAATGTTAAAGAATTATATGAAACTTGAGTAAAATAAGCAAAATATTTATTAAAAAAGCAAAATGAAAAATATTATATTACTAATCTTAGCCAAAATTTTCTAACAATAAACAATGAAAATAAAAGGTGGATTGACAATGGTTTGAGCGTACTGTTTTAACATGAAAAATTAGTAAACAATGAAAATAATAGATGGGATTGACAGTGGTTTGAGTGTACTGTTGTATCATGAAAAATTAATAAACAATGAAAATAATAGATGGGATTGACAGTGGTTTGAGTGTACTGTTGTATCATGAAAAATTAATAAACAATGAAAATAAAAGGTGGGATTGACAATGGTTTGAGCGTAGTGTTGTAACATGAAAAATTAATAAACAATGAAAATAAAAGGTGGGATTGACAATGGTTTGAGCGTACTGTTGTATCATGAAAAATTAATAAACAATGAAAATAAAAGGAGGGATTGACAATGGTTTGAGTGTATTGTTGTATCATGAAAAATTAATAAACAATGTTCAATATCTGAAGTTTAGATTTTTGAATTTCATTTTAAGAGCAAGCAAGGTGATATCAGATTGTACAATCATGGTCTCCCCTAATTCATAAACACTAATTTAACCAAATAAAACCTTTTATATATAAACATCAGTTCAAAGAAAACTTAAAAATACAAAGTTTGTACACACATACGTATCCTCAACTACATTACTAAATAAGTAATAAATTCTAAGAACACATTTTGATCTAGGTTTTAAAGTTCATATTTGACTCTTCCAGTTATCATTACTTTATTTGTCAAAAACTCAACTCTATCCAAACCTTCAGAAGATTCAGTTCCAAAAACAAACCATCTCCAGTTTTTCTAAGTTTTAACAAAACTGCTTGCAATTGAATTATGTTTTACATTTTTCAAACCAGGCATTATTCTACTGAACTTATTCTGTAACATTGTCAACGAATCGTTATCCTTCATACAATAAAGAGTCTAAAACCAAATCAGTAGTCCAAATGAGATACTACTGGAGTCTTAAATAAAGTGACCAGTCTTTTTGTTTTCACTCTCATTAAACTCAAAGATTTATAGAAACACCCTGGTGGCTATCTTGTTAACTCTACTCCTTTCTAAACAACCAAATATAGACTCCTTTTCATCCTCAGCACATCAACACTCTTATTATTTAATAGGCAAACTTAAATTTCTCAATCTCAATTTCATAGCTTTACACTTCTCAATATTAAAAATTTTTCATGTCTGTGACCATCTGATATCAATGTTTTTCTAAAACCTAAATTAAAACAAAAATATTTTCAATATCAGCTTTCAAAAGCAATCCAATGTCATCAGAATAATATACAGCACTTGTAGCTATCATCACCATTTATGTAAATGTTAAAACATTACACAAAGACCCCAAATAAGCCAGCTAATCACATCCATTTAATTACAAAACTTTCTAGTTAATTTGACTTCCTGTCATTAAGCTCATTTAACTCTTTCATTAATTCCCTAAAAAATTAGCTTGGTAATTAACATTTTATGCAAAATATTCACAGAAGCATTCTGAAAACCAAGGTACCTAACAGATGAAACAATGCATTATAATCTTTACAAGTAGAAATGTAAGAAAAGTATATTTAATTAGCTATACTGATTGTCTGGTTGATCTTTCGTTTCACTCTAAATACATAGCTTGCTCTGAATGCCTCTGATCAGAAGTTAATGTTAGTATTCACAATGGTACTTACATCAAAATAAAGCTGAAATTATGACAAAGAACTCCAGCAAGCTGATGACACAATAAACTGATTACCTCAAATCCAAACTGACTTGTTTCAGTATATAAGAATTCATTGACACCTTTGAAGTCAAAATACTTATAGCAGTTTGCTCAGAACTTACATTAGTTCTGAAGATGGAACTCGTATTATTCCTAGTCAGTGTATAATTGCTGTTGGATCTCTTTGGATCTGATATCCCTATTTTGCTTTTTTTTAATTAAAGGCAAAAACAATTATAATTATTTTAAGACTGCCTCATTCGCATTATGAATTCATATTTGACTCATCTAGTCAATTATATTACTTCACTCCCATTCCAAGTTATGGCCTCAATAAAACTTAAACTGTCTTCTTCCAAAACATAAAATCCTCCACCAAACAACATGGATCTGACACGTTTTTTTTCTCTAAATGTTAAGCACCACACCTATGTTTTCTTCTATCTGACATGAATAAGTTAGAATAGTGTGTTAAATCCATCTTCACTGTTCAAGCTATTTAAATAAGAAATCTTTTAGCATTTATTCTTTACAATCTTTACAAGAAACAATAAATATTTATTTTTTCTTGCCTGATGGTAACCTAAGTAGAAGGTCGAAACATTGCATGGCCATATTTATATATACGTGTGTATTTTTCTGTAATAAACATTTTACAAGTTAGAAACAATGAGGTACAATGTTTTTGTGATTACTGTAGTTCTTCTTTCTTTTTATAAAACTGCATTTTGCTGCTGGAAAATCCGTGGCTGATATATTAATTCGAAGGTACGGTCAAAATGCATTAATGTCAAATTCTTCTATACTGTGAATGAAAGATAATCCTCACAATCATCAGCTTTAGATGGATTAGACTATCTTTCCTAATCAATGGCCCTAAAAATTAAAACTTCCCAAAACTAAAACTTTTTACTCGCCACAGTTGAGCATATAAACTTACATATGAGAATTTAAGCACTTTCATCAGGCAAAAAAATTAATCACTACATTCTCCATTTTGTTATTAACAAAAACTTCTACACCACACAACTTCTTTCCCTTTCCTTTCATACACTCTTCCCAAACCATCATTTAACCACATTTCTGTAATACAAACTATGAGGGATATTTTACGAATCTTGCAATTTCTGTCAATTCTCGCTCAATAACCTGAAAGAGTTTTTTCACAAATGAAGTTATCTATTCAGAAATGCTGTTAAGTTCCTGCACAGAAAAGTAGACTTCTTTCCCCCCAGTGTCAGACAGGTATGAATTTGTTTAAAATTGACATAAAAACCATTACACCTTTGAAGTGAAACCTAACTTGGTAATAAATCAATTAGGTTAAATTAAAAACATACATTAAACTCTCACACCACCATATAAACAAGAAAAACAAAGGTAATGGAAGGCTATCTGACGAACTGAGATCATCTTTACAAAAAACAAAATGAAACATCTGCATAAAAACAATGTTTACAACCAAACCATTCATATTAGGCTTATTTAATTTTTAATACTAAATTCTTTATTCAGTCCCTTAGAGTTTCTCAAGAAGTATTTCAACCATACTATGTCCACCATGTCAGTACATTATTATTTAAGCCAATTAATGCCATAATTGTTATGATGTGAATGTCTTCCTAGCAAAGAATCATTATAATTAATTATACCTGTAACAAAACATCATTACTAGGCCTATATAAATAGTGTTCTGACTATTACTGTGTCCTAATGAGCTCTGGTATCGAGCAAAATGCTTCGTCAGCAATGGCTATGGCTAACATACTGTGGTTGAAATACTATTATACATTCTTTTTCTTCTTGAAAAACCCTTAAGGACTGAATAAAGAATGTACTGTAAAAATAATAGAACTAATACTAATTTTGTATCAAAAGAATAATTAATTATAATCATGCTACACCATCTTAGAAAAGGCATTCACACCATTACAGATAAAACAGTTTGCAACAAATTAAAACCTTCCCATGTCTATTTTTTCCAACATAAATACTTAAACCATTTAGAGCATTACAACTGTACTTCAAAATGTATTTTATGAATATCATATAAATGTAAATATCTAGTACTGCTGAAAATACTGTAAATAATTCACTCTTAATCATTGAAAGAACTTTCAAAACACACTTCTGATGAAAGTTGGCTAAATATAAATTATAAGTGTATATAAACAAGTTCACAAAAATTACAAGTTACACAATTAACATTAAATTTTAAAACACTACCAATCAATTATAGCTTTTTCAGGCCATGATAAAAATCTAGAATCGTGATATAAAATAATCTGTAAAGTAAGTAACTTTCAGTTTATACTCAGCAGTACTATAATACTGGGAACAACTGCTAAATGTCACAAGGGTAAACACAAAGTTATGAAATACAAATTAGAAGTGAAAGAAAACATTTTAACATGTTACTATTATCCTGCTTTGAAATCATGATTTGTGATTTTTTTCTCTAATGTGTCCATTTAATAATTGAATAATTATCCCTTCAAATGGCTAAACAGTAAAAGTTCTTGTCCCACCAAAATATTATAAGTGAAATTTTTTTCAAAAAAAAAAAATAAATTACAGATATATATATATATCCTTATTCTTAAAATTTCAAAAATTGCTCTTGCCTAGTTAACAGCTGAAGGATTTTTACTTTCCTAATCCTAGTCTTTAAACTGGATTATAATTTATATAATAACAATAAACCACCATCTACAACCAAAACTTAAAAAAAAACAGGGGGTATGAAGAGTACTATTTTCTTCTCAATTCACTAAATATTACGACAGTTAGGCAAGCTTCTGTATATTTATTACGGTATTAGTATTCTTTCACTAGTTACTATTACAGTAGTACTAGAAGGAACATCGTGTTACAATACTCAACAGTGACAACAGTAACAATGGTTCACTTGGTCAAGGAACAGCTAAATCAGCATTGATGCTCAACCTGAAGTTTCCACTGGATACAAAAACTTAAGCATACTTAAAATATAAAAATAATCTTACCTTGCTAACGTAAATCGCTGTACTTTATTTATTTCTAAATATTGACATCTGTCAATTTTCAGTAAACCTAAAACACTAACTCAGAATTCGACCTTTCACGTGTATAACCAAAAAATGTTTGTCAAAGAGCGCCTTCTAATGGTGAGTAATGAAATACTAAATATTCCATATGGTATGAAGTCAAACTAAAGTCCATACTTGTATAATCACAGCATGAAGCTGCCAAAATATAAAGAACTTTTAGACTTTGTGTTTTGAAGATACACCAAAGTTTTCTAATCCATGACATTATATATATTGATATATAAATAATAAGAGTGCTTATAAATGACTCACTACTACCACTTGTATAACTTTTGTAAGTGACAAGTCTTGTAGACTGGCTTAATTTTTAAATATATCAGAATAATTGAAACGCTATTTTTAAGTTGGCAAATTAAAATCTGTGATTATCTGAAAAAGAATTATGTACTTGTCTACAGTAGCAATAATCATACGTTAATCTAACATTATAAATTCGAGAAAACTTTATCATATTTTAGGGTTTGAATAAAGAAATAGATCACACCCAGTATTTCTTTGGCACCTAGAAAAATATATACAAAAAAGACGCATAATTTTCTCTGCACGCTTTAAACTACTGAAAAATACAGAATAAAAATGTTTTAAATTACAATCTAAAATCATTTAAACTTTTTGATAAGTTATATGTTTTTCTATAAGCATATTGATTACAAAATATTTACATATTATAGACTTTTGAGCGAGAGTCAAGTTATCTTAATTTATATATTCTTAATACCTCATTTATCAGACAGATAGCTATTTATTTTATTTTGTTTGTTTATATACTTGCAGCATGACTGTTAGTTTTGTATCAATTCCTGTATTTAGCTGGTAAATATAAACACGCAGGTAAAATTAGGAGGTTAGTCAGTTCAAAATTTCAGAAATAAAAAGTTAAGGATGACAGAAAGATTTTTGAATAAATAAACTCATGTATTTTAATTTATAGGAATTATGTGAACTTGTAATGAATTGTTGTAGTTTATTCCTAAATATGTAGTTAGGTTATAGATGTCAAAGAGCATAGTTTTCCTCACAGGTTTTCTTTCTTTTATTTTTCTTTTCGTACATTCATAATCACTAAACTGTTTTTATTTTTAATATTATTCTATATCATTCTTCCAAGTTTGATAGATATTATTTTGGATGTTATCTGAAAATTACATTCTTGAAATAATGATGCACAGAGTAATACATCAGGACAATCATTTACCTTATTTAAGGTAACATGATTAAACACCTGCAAATTTAATTTCTGTTGTTTAATGTGTGTTTTATACTACTTATTATGGTGCTTTGTACATTGGAAATATGTATTGTTTACAATTTCTTTGATTAGCTTCGTTCGCAACTTGCTGTTTACAGTTTTTAGGTGCTATCCAAAATTTGGCATATTTTGCACAAATTTGATATTAGTGCTTTGTTTGAATAAAAAAAAATGCATTTGAGATTAGCTGCTTTATCATTTATTAAACATTTTTATTTCAAGTGAAAGTAGCGTGGTTTTATAATCTATAGGAATTACTGTAGTTAGTGTCAATTAAAACTTCTGTATGTAAGTGTGATTCTAAAATTTCTATGATTATTTTCCGATTTCATAATATGGGTTCAAAAAGGATGTTTATTGAAGTAAAAAATTCAAGTCGCAAGTGATGTATTTTCCTTCTGCTTCTCTGTTTATAGAAGTCTCCCGGTGAAACAGTCCTAATAAGTCTTCGGATTTAAAAACGCTGAAATCAGGGTGGACACAGCAGATAGCCCAATGTGGCTTTGCTATAACAAACACACTCTGTTTACAGAAATTTTATAATATATATATTTTACTCTTATGTGCATAAATGTTATGATATTATGATTACACCTTATAATTAACTTATTGTTTTTCGGAGTTCTCTGTGTGGCTGCAGCGAGTCATTAAACTTTCCCTTTCGCCAGGACACACGACAGGTGATTTGAATAACTGGTAGCTATCTGTGTTTTTTTTACAAGAACATTGTTTGTTTGGTTGAAGTTAAGCACAAAGCAACACAATGGGCTATCTGTGCTCTGCCCACCACGAGTATAGAAACCCGGATTCCAGCATTGTAACTCCGCAGACATACTGTTGTGCCACTGGGGGGGCTACAGGAACACATCTCGTACATTGTGAGGTAGACGGTTGCGCCTTTCTTTCCAACAAATCGGATACTAGCTAAGGGCAGTCACAACCTTTGCGCAGCAGATGAACGTAGCGTGCACAAGCCTGGCTTTGTACAATATTAGTATATTTTTGTAAATACATCCAGGTTTGTCCTGAGTAAAGAACTTCTTTCAGCTTAGAGTATATTGAGGACTTTCTTATTATTGATGTCACTTTAACTTTTGTTTCGTTTTTACGTTTACTTTAGTGAACTTATTTAGCGTACGTTTAGATCATAATAGATTCTGACCTTCGAAGGAGTCGGTATATGTTTTCTTAACCTTTCACTTAATCATTTGGACTTTCTGTTTTATTCTAACTTTACTTGTCAGTATTGTTTTTTAATTGACTTCGAATTTAATTTTGGTTTAGCTTACAAAGGAGAGCACACTGAACTGGTAAGAAAAACTATAAAATGTTTTTCAAATTTTTTTAACATATCAACTAGATACACTTGCCCTTGTGTTTTTTTTTTGTTTGTTTGTTTGTGTGTGTGAAATAAAGATATGTCAATTGTGTATTTGTGTACCGTCTCTCTCTCTTTTTGTTTCTTCTTTTTTTTTGCAAGAACTCGATTGAAGATCGAGAAGACACACAAGATACACTCCATGATTCGATATCTTCGAACCTCCAGTTAGTGGGCCCTAATTGACTACTCTGAAATACCACCTTCACACAATGTAATTCTTAACTCATTAATGGCCAGAATTTTTTTGAAGATTTTAAAAGGTTTTTATTGTATTTAGCTTTAAAAACGCCATACAGACATGAAAACACTATTTGATTAAATTTATTTTTGTAGCAATCCTCTAAGACAGTGAACAAGGAACTGGTCACAAAACAGTGACACCATGTTATGCAAATATCAACAAAATCTAAATGTGCAGTGGTTTATGAAATTATAAATAAATTTCAAGTTGCTTACATTTCTATGTAAAATAATACAATGTCAATGTAATCTGAAAAGTTTGAAACAATTCACTGATAAGTTTTTAATTTATAATTTAAGTTTTTGTCCTAAAATTGGGACGTTGGGCTTTTTTGCGTTAAAAACTTTTACTTTTGACCAAATACGATACTTAGGCCTTTTTATCTTTTAAAAACTTGCTATCTGGTGTTATTTATTAAAGGAATTTTCACTAAAATTCCACAGATGTGGCTTCCTCTATATTTATCTAAGTTTAATTCATTCAAATTCTCCATGTAAATTTTGATTTGATTATTTAAATCTGATCTAGTAAATTATTAACCAATATATTTGGCATGAAATTAATAATTTAATGTCAGAAACCAAATACATGTTTATTAATTACTATTAAATTGAAGCATACAACAAATAGTTTACGCAAATCTTGAACATTTTGCACACGCTTTTAATAGCGGTTTATATTTTTTCTTAATTTATTCTACATTACAAAAATACAATTTATTTCCTAATCTCGCAAGTGAAGTACTTTTAGCTTAAAAAGAAAGTAAAGCTGCAATGTTTTGAATCGTTTAATTCTGTTGGAATAAATATTATTTCTACTTGTTTTCTTACGACTTCTATTTTTGAGAGGGGGGGAGATGGACGAGGAAGATCATTTCGTGAAAATTCTGTGCATATTTCGAAGTCTGTCTAATGTTTGTTCTCGAAAGTGCAACTTCTGCAATTATTTGTAAATATGAAGTTTCAGGATACGTTTTTGTAAACTAACTTGTATTATAGAAGCTAGCTGAATAAAAATAATAATTAACTACTAAGCGACCTCTAGTTTCAGTTGGGGTTACTTATAGTAATACCGATAATTGAGATTGATAAAAAAATTTTAAGGTGCTTTGAGTAGACAATAGGAGTTAAAATAGTAAGCCAGTTAATTTTTTTTAATTTAATGTTCTGTAACTTGTTATTTTCTTGTTTAAACTTTGAATTGTAAAAAGTAATTCATACCATTATGTTTCCCAGGTTTCACTACGCGACACTAGTAATTACAACTTAGTTTCACTATTTAAAAATAAAAGCTTATACATCAAAATTGAGACATTCGATGATTCAGTTCTTTATAAATTATTGCCTGGCCTAACCTATTTGTCATTAAACTTAAAGCTTAATCGTGTTTAAATACCCCAACAAAAATTTAAAGCCCTTTTATTTGGAAGTTTGTCAGACATAATTCTAAGGCTTAGCACCAAATAATATTTACAATATTATTACTAAATTATTTTATTTCAAGTCTCACCAGCGTGACGTAGTTTCTACTGCCTGTGCTGGTGAAACTGCAGTGTAACTATCGATAATTAGAAATTTATTTGATAATCAGTATTTTAACATTTTTAGTTTTGAACCTGTCGTTTCCAGTGTTTTTTGATGTAAGTGGGAAAAGGTACACACATTGAATTTTTTTGACAAACGTGTTTGGGTTTTATTTAAAATATAAATTAACATGTTATATTGCTAGTAACTTTATGGATGAACAACAAATGTTCTGTACTAAAATCGGTGGTCTGCATTAGACTGTTCGTAAGAAGAAAAGCAAAGGCCCTAAACACTGACCCTAGAGACACTTCACTAGTAATGAGGGTTCATTTTAAATGGCTTTCATTAAAAAAACAAAACTTTTTCGCTCAATCACCAACCTTCTAATAGAATTAACTAGTCTTTCCCCAACTCTTATTGTTAGAAGTTTCTTAACTTATTTTTTGTATGGCACTTTATCAAAAGCTTTTTTAAAAACTAAGTACAGTAAGTCCACACCCTGTAACCCTTTATAAAATCAAGGTAATATGGTAACATCCTTGTAAAAAGTTAATAGTTTAGTAAGGGAAGGTTTTCCTTTTAATAAATCTATTTTGATTTTCTTTGATGATGATATGTTTTCAAGATGATTTTGCAAAGTTTTTTCAGCGGACTCTCTAGAATTTTTTTAATACAGAAATAAGAGTAACATTACCAATTCTTCAATCCTTGGGTACTGGTCCAATGTTGTATGAAAAATGAAAGAGAGAGAGGCTCACATATCTGATCTTTTGACCTCCTTTAAATCCCTTGGAGAACCATTTTCTAATTCTGGTGCTATATCTATTTTTTAATATCCCAATATTTCTATTTACCACCATCGTACCTTCATGATTCGGGGCCAATCCTAGTATTTTCTATCAAATGCTCACGGTCAGAAATATTGCTAACATTCTCTCGGGACAAAAAGAAGGTAGTGTATGTGAGGAGATGTTGGACTAGCAGTCATAAATTTGTATGTTTAAAAATCAAAATTCGACTGCACTGTCATAGTTTGTGAATATAGAATAATATCATAACAGATCCATATATGTTGATTTTTAGTCTTCTAATATTAGTATATATACCACTGAAATAAATGGTTTTTTTTTTTCTGTGATGAACCTTTCTATTTTGGCTTCTTTGTCATGTTCATGGTTAGTGTTTTATTAAGTATTGTTAAGTGAAAGTAATTTAGCAAAGGGTCATATTTTGACTCTGCTAATTAAACGTGCTTTTTTACTGAATTGCCTCCAGTTTTGTTTCATTTGCTGTTGCTATTAGAAGTACGTGTTTGGACCTGTGCAAATGCTTAGTCTAATCAAATGTACGATATCAGTAACAAGATGTGGGTGTGAAATTTTCATTCCCTTAATAACCACTAACTCTAGTTAAGGGATTTGACTCCCAAGTCTGTTCCTCGTGTTTCAGTAGATTACATAAAAGATTTAAAGTAAAGGCAATGGAACCTCTGTAAAAATATAACCATGTATATGGCAGGTTATGAAGCTTAAGCAAAATATAAACATCATTCATTCTGTGCTTTATCTGTCAGGTGTTATAATTTAATTGCTTTAATTTTCAAACATGAATCCAGGATAGGTTTTGTATTGCTAACTTATATCTATAATGACTTTACATGTTGATAGTAATGATCCTGTTGGTAGTTCCTAGATGATTTGGTGAGTTAACAAAATTGGACTTCTGTTGTAAAATTGCATACATTGGTGGCACAAGGTAATTTAAACATGGGAAGTGATCACTAAGTTTGATTTAATTTAAAAATGTATTGGCAGTATAACTTTGAAACTGTTTAATATACAGAATATGTAACTATAATCATTGATAAAATGTGGATTTGGTGATTACACAACTTTCCGTAGATGGTTTCAACTGAAACTGGTTTTGTCATTTGTTACATCCATTAAATATAAACAAATATGATGTAACCGGTTTACCTGGTCCTTTGCATTTGGTTATACCTCGTTTAATGTCTGTAATTCTGAAGTTATTTAACTATTCTTATATGTACCAAAATTCATAATCATATTCTTAAGTTTTTTTTCATATAAGACTTTTTTGTTCTTGTGGCACATACAGTGCTTTGTAACTTTTATTATTACTTGTCTTTATTGTTAACTGAAATCTCACTCTGCGAGATGAGAGTATTTATGTTTGAGACCGTAGAAATACTCTTTGTATTATTTTTTTTTTAATAAAAGTTTATCAGATTTCATTAACACTTTCTAATTGTTCTTTCATGTTCCAAATTTTTTTCTATCACGAGTCTGCTTGTTAATTTGGATTTTATATCCATGCTAAAAAAACAAACAAAAATAAAACAAGTAATTTTTACTCAAGAATTGGTTACCTGGGTATGATTCTAACCTATGACACATTTTAGCACTTTCTTCAGTGGTTAATAAATATAAGATGGAAGAGCTTATAAGTTATACCAATAACTTAAAAAGTCCAGAATCCAATTATCACCATTTTCATCTGTAGGAATTTTAAGCTTTTTCTGAAGAATTTGCAGTTTCAGATTCCAACCAGTCTCATTTTTCACTTTTTAGGTAAAAAATTATAATTTTAGAGAATGGCATGCCACTCTTCAAATTTATACTTAAACAAAGATGTAAATGATTAAAAAACACCAAGTTGAGTGGGTAGTTTTTAAATCTTTGTGGACAAACCTCAATTTGTTAGTCAGTAGCTTAAAACTAAGAACTTATCTCCCAAAGTATTCTGATGTTACCTCTGGGTTTTTAGATCAACATTCTTGGGAATTCTAAAGTAAGCTTTTTCCTGTGGTTTCCCAGTGGCTCAGCAGTAAGTCTGTGGACACACAACTAAAAACTAGGTTTTGATACACAGCACAGATAGCCTCTTGTGTTTTACTACAGACAAACGGATGAATCCTGTGATATCATGGCTGGTCTAACCATCTATAGTTAATTTGCAGCTATAAACGATACAGAATTATTCATCTTAGTTTGCCAAGTTTATTTATATTGTGTTCAGCACTTGTATTCTTTTTTGTATTCCATGACCAGCACCCATTGTATTGTTTTTTTGTATTCCATGATCAGCACCCATTTTATTATTTTTTGTATTCCATGATCAGCACTCACTCTATTGTTTTTGTATTCCATGATCAGCACTCACTCTATTGTTTTTGTATTCCATGACCAACACTCATTGTAGTTTATTTTGTATTCCATGATCAGCATGCACTCTATTGTTTTTGTATTCCATGACCAACACTCATTGTAGTTTATTTTGTATTTCATGATCAGCACTCACTCTATTGTTTTTTGTATTCCATGATCAGCACTCACTGTATCATATTTTTGTATTCCATGACCAGCACTCGTATTGTTTTTGCCTAGAGCAGTTTCTGGATTCTAACATTACTAATAGTTAGTCCAGAAATTTCATATCTCTTTTCTAAGGTTGATATGCATGCAAAGTTTGTGATATTTTATGTTCTTTAAGGGTTCAGGCTTTTTTTTCACTTCTTATTACATTTTCAATGGTGACCTTCATTTGTTGTGTTTTATGTAAGGCTGTATTGTTGAGTTAATAATTAACTTCCAAAATATAAGTAGACTTAGGGTAAGTTTTTATTAAACATTTATTATTATAGTTGCTTATCGTTGTATCGTAAGCCAATAATCTATTACATATAACTTATCTGGTTATATATAACATTTTCCTTTCTCTACAGGATAAAAATGCAATTTTCAAGAACAACAATCCTCAATAAAGTTAAGGAAAATCACACTTCAATCAAGAAATAAGGATAAGAAAAATGAAAGTTCCATAAAGTTGGTGCATTAGTCATGGACTGTTCAGAATTAAATTGTCATGATGATCATTCTTCACTTGGAAACATGGAATCAGACAAAGATTCAAAATCATTAGTGATAGATATTCAGCAATCACTTAATGATAATACTGTCAATGATTGGAACCAAAGTAATGACTTTAGTGATTTAGAAAAAGATCTTAATGTTGACCAAAGTGTTATTGTATTGGAAAATGGTGAAAAACGTTGGAAATGTAGTCTGTGTTTAAAGCTTTACACTGCTAAACACAATCTTGTAACTCACATGCTTGATCATGCAGGTGTCAGAAGGTTTACCTGTGAAATTTGCAATAAGTCTTTTAAACAGCAGAGCCATCTAAATGCTCATCATCTGATACATTCAGATAGAAGACCGCATGAATGTCCAACATGTCAGAGGAGGTTCTGTCAAGTATCTCATTTGAAACGACACATGTTAATTCATCAAAGAGAAAACTTTCATAAGTGTCACTTGTGTGAACGTAGATTTGCTTTTCCAAGTGAATTAAAAGAGCATTTGGAAAAGCACAAGCAAGAAAGTACATGTGGGGAGAGTGAAGATCGGAATTTAAATCCTACAGTGGAGTCTAAAGGAGGACAGCAGGGAAAGTTACATCAGATCACATGTGAAGTTTGTCAACGCGTTTTTATGTATCCCAGTCAGTTGAAGGATCACATGCTTGTTCATACGCAGGCCCGTCATCACTCGTGTAATATGTGCGGAATGAAATTCTTGAAAGAACATCATTTGAAGACTCACCAACTGACTCATAGTCCAGTGAAACCTTTCTTTTGTCCCATATGTGGGCGAAGTTTTTCACTTAAAGCAAACATGGAAAGGCACGTATTAATTCATAATGCTGAAAGACGCTTTCCTTGTGAAGTATGTGGAAAGAAGTTCACTCAAGCTCAAACATTAAGAGCTCACATGGTTTCTCACTCAGAAGTCAAGCCTTATTCGTGTTCTATTTGTGGTAAAGGTCTATCCAGAGCACATAATCTTCGTGCTCATATGGCCATTCACAAAAATGACAAACCCCACAAGTGCTCTAACTGTGGAAGCTCTTTTACCCTCAAAGGTAATTTACAAAGACATATGAAAGAGAAGCATGGAAGTGTTGAAGTAGTGACACCTAGAGAAACAGCAAGCGATAACGTTGAATTGGGTAGTTCCCAGACAAATTCTGGTTCAAATGATGCTGTTAAACCAACTCAACCAGTCACACTTTCTCAGGATTGCCACCAACCACAAAATGAACTAACACTTAAAGTCACTAAGCGAAGAAAGAACATCCCTAAGCGGCTGAAAAAATTTGGTAGTGAGGAAGAAGAAGAAGAAGATGATGATGATGATTATGATCCTATGCAAGAATCTGATAAGTCTATTGAAGAAGAAACAGAAAATGGTGCTCAGTCAGTTCCTGTTGTCCCAGAGACAATTCTTTCCACAGAAGAGAACAGCCTTCATCAGTCCTCCAGACTGGCAGATTTATTTCAGAATTCATCTAACTACTTTCCATCTTACTCTGCAACTGACTTTTCTTCTGAACACAAATCATTTTCTTATCTTCATCCAACAACACATGGTCAAGGCTCTGTGGGCACTACCCCATATTGTTCCGTAAGCTCTAGTCCCATCATCAGTACAAGCCCCATAAGTTCTATCATGAGTCATTTGGCACAGAATTACTATATTGAACATCCAGGATTTTCTTCTACATGTCTTTCACCTCCTGTTGATGATATTACCTTGAAAATTCAGGCTGTGCATACGGCAATAGATGAGTTGGCAGGAAAACTGAATTCTCCTCATGACAAAGTTGCTGCTCTGCATGATGCTGTCAGTAACTTAGTGAACTCACAAACATCATCAAATGTGTGTCCATAGTAGTTTTAGGCAATTAAACATTTTAATTTTATTATATTTTAAGATGTAAAATATCAGTTTCTGCATTTTTTGTAATGAGTTCATTTTGCTTTAAGAGGTGGTGGTTTGTGCCAAACCTGATTTCTGTATTGGAATAATTAAGAAAAGGATTTACATATTTTGCAGCTAGATTTTAACATCCCAATGATAGTGGGTCTTCTTCAAATATTTTTTTGTGCTCTGTTATTTTTACCTCCTAAATTATGCACCTGCTTCTGTATTTTAGATACCCAACATTTTAAAAATTAATTACTCGCATATGTATAGTCTGGTAAAATATGAAAGTTCTTACACTTTAAAAGGTAATGATAAGCTACTGCTGTTTTTCACATTTTCTTCAAAGGTTTTAAATCGAAGTTGTTTGAAAATACTTTTTCAGATATACTTGTCTGTCTGTCATAAGTCACTGCCCTGGAAAACTTGATTAACCCTTTGAGTGCGTGATTAAATTTCGGGTGGGTTCTTGAAAAGTGTCAATTATCCACTAAAATATGAAATTTAGAATTTGACCTTTTTTTATTACTTTTTCAATATCAAAATCCACTAGCTGTGCTTTTGCAAGGTGATGTGTGCATATGTGGAACTAAGGTGGGAAGTTCAAGAACGTACGAGTATCCCAGTTGTCACACTATGAGGTAAAGTTTTTGATGACGGTGGGGTAAATCTGCTTGTCACACCAAACGGCTATAAATGTCAAGTTGGATAAATCCAATTATAGCATCCAAAGGGTCAATGTAAGAACTTTTTTTGGTTCAGTTGAACCCACAGTCACCAAAAGTTTATCAGTATTGCTAAAAAAAAAACTATTGTTTTGATGTAATCAGTGTAATGCAAATTTATAAAGTTCAAAAGAAAATATTTACATAATCAATTTTAACATTATTTGCATATACAAAAAAAAAAAAATGTTAGGGAGCCGAATCAAGTCTTAATATTCCCCGATACAGTACTTACCTCCGCTCACAAGATCAGCTATTCTCATCCAGTGTTGCCCTCTATATGCAAACTTTTTTATTTATGCATGTCACAAGCCTTCTGCTTCCCCCTATTGGAATCAAATGGCTCCAATGTATGTGTCATGCAAATCATCATGTTATTGGTTGATTCTGAATCTATATTTTTTTATTTTTCTTGAATAACATTCTTTATGTATCTTTACTCACTCTGATGGGATCAGTAACATTTAGTTTTATGTGCATATTGAGGATGAAGTTTTGAGCAGGCTTCTGTTCAGATGTAGGTTATACGTTTACACACATATTTACAATGTTTAATCACAAGTTTAAATATATTTATTAACAGCTAAATTTTTTTTAACTATTACTTGTAACTCAGAAAACATTTACAGAAATGTAAATAAAATTAACATGTTCTCACGAAGTTAGCGTTAAAAATGTTTCAAAGGCAGCTATTTAAATTATAATGATTCATTATGCCAATGATTTTGTTACATGTATAAATCAAAGCTTTAATTAATAACTTAGTTATAACTCTATAATGAATGAATGTTTATTTTTTAACATGCACAGTATTAAACTATGACAAGTCTTGGTTTAAGCACCAAAAGCTGTCAGAATATTGAAGAACCAGTAGACTTAAAATTGTATTTAAAATAAGTTAACTGATCTATAATTAACGTAAGAATCTTTAATGTGTACTGGAGGGACTTAGGCATTAAAGTTAGAAAAACAACAACAATAGTCTCCACATAATAAAAGAACATTTTATTTACACCAACATTTCACGATTGCAGCTTTAATGGGTCCAGTAGTACAAGAGCTACAGTTTTTTATTATTATCTGGAGAGTAAAAGTTATTTTTTTAAACTTTACCACAGTTAACTTGTTTGTATAACAATCTTAAGAGCCCTCCCCCAGTTAAAATCTGGGTTATGGTACAGCTTTGCACTTAACAGACAAACAAATAAACAATTTGAAGACTATTGGTTTTTTTAAATGAGTATTACTTTTAAGCATTTTGTAGTGTAGTAGATTTTTTTCATGGAAAAGAATGCAAACACCAAGAGAAAAGTGTCAATGGGGAGAGAGTTTATTTCATAAAAAAATTGATAAAAATTTATCCCAATTAAAAGTGTCTTTACTACTAAGATATTGGAGTTTGGGTAGTTTCTGAAGGTTATAAGAATACATAAATGTTTGAGAAAATTTATTAATGTAAAAAGTATTTAAAATGATAGGCATTTAACGTAATTGATATTCATGATGTGTTTTTGCTTTCTGTGATCAGTATGTAACTACAACTCGTTTAAACTAGAAGAAAAAACTTACAAAAATCGTGGTCTGATTTTTTATAGTTCAAATTAAAGGAACAATTGAAAGATTGTGTATGCTATAAGTCAGAAGCTATTTGCACTTTAAGCAACTTGTAATTTTGTAAACTACACATTTTTGGTACCAGTGTTTTTAACCTCAAATTATCAAAAACTA